CACATTTTCACATTTGATCATCTATACATGTTAAAAATGTTAAATAAGTATAATGGAACTTATATACATCAACAAATAACATCACAAATTCACCATTCAAAGTGTGTCAATAAACTCAAAAAAATATGCAAATGGTAAATATAAAATACTAAGTATAAGAAACTTACCTCAAACTGGTAGAGTGAACTTTGGTGATGCAAATGATGCAAAAAGCCCTATGAAATACCCTCTAATTGACCTCCAATTGTTTAGACAAGAATAAAAAATCCTAGCCTCAATCTCTTGAAAACCGGCATTTGAGATGTTTTATGTGAATTTTAATCAGTTAAAAAAGCTATATGAAAGTCAAATAATGTTTGGTTGACGATTTCTTGTAAAGAAATAGTGTATAAGAGAAGATTTGTGAAGTATATGTTTGTGTGGTGAAAAACATGAGCTTGGGAAGGAAGGAGGAAGTGAAATTAAGCCAGCATTTTGTGTCTTTTAAACAAAGATTTGAATAAATGAGCTGAATACATGAGCTCGAGCCTACATTTCGAGCCTGTGTATTCTGTGTTAAATTTACGGAACACAATACATAGGCTGTGAAAACATGGGCTAATGCCACGTATTCTGAGCCCGTGTTTTGTATTTTACAATTTTTTCACATAAATTTTTAGCTCTCTAAAAATTACATTTGTTACCCCAATTACTAAAATACATTCTAGTTCAACCTCTAACATCGAGAAAATATCAATTGAAGTTGGACCAACAATAGAACAAGGATGAATTCTGCCCAAAAAGTGCAAATCTGCAGAAGCAATACGTGGGTAGACAATATGCGATTTAAGGTGTTTTCAAGTCGCGTATTCTTCATTTTTTGTTGTAACTTACTCTGCAATTTGTTCTTTGTTTACACAACCTTTCCAACTCATCTACAACTCAGAATTTCGACTGCAGCTGTAAAGAATGACAGGTTGTCGGGTCTGTGCAATAATAATAAAAGAATCTAACTACTACCAAAAGCAGTCAATAATCAATTCCAGGTATTGGAGCAGGGACTCTAGATGTGCAATGGATTACTTGATTCACCCTGGTTCCGAAGAGTTTACTTAATCCTATATACCAGAATTAATTAACTGACAAAATTTACTAACTAGTAGACAGTGGCAAGCAGGGTCGTCTCCTCAGGGATTGGGGAAAAGTTCGTTTCCTTTTGAGACAAGACAAACGGGGGATTTGAGGATTAAATGCTAATGAATTGCTAACTAAATAAATTAAATGTGAAAAATAATTAATTGAGAGAAATAATTGGGAAAACTCTAGCCAAAGATACAGTTAAAAAATGGTTCATACAACTGATCATCGATTCAAATATAATTCCAACATTCATTAATAGATTGGTTATACCTGTCATACACGCGATAAACAACCAGCTTTTCCTTACTTTTTCGATAGTCAAGGTATGACCGTTAATTATTTTTCTAACCAAAAAATAACTCTAGGTACGACCATAGGATTTAATTTCTAGATTGCATTAAGAATTAGAAAAGTCCAACCCTAACTAACAAACACGCTACGAGGGTATGTTTAAGTTAAATCGTATGTTTTCCTGACATAAACCCAATTATGTCAGTTGCTACCGGGATGAAAGTAATCGAACAATTACGGATTCAACTACCCTCAATTAGCAAATAGCCTACGTGAATAATTAAATATTGCGCATTTATTCAATTATACACGATAGCTATAACAACAATTAAAAATAGAAAACATACAAATACCAATAAATGAAGGAAACAGTTAAAATAATTTAGATCTCATAGTTATTGTTGAACCAAATATTCAGTTGTCCCCTTAACTAGAAGTATGAAATTAGTTCTCCATTAATGGAGAACAGGCCATGTGAAAAAAGCTGTCCGAAGCTTACAAAATTGTTCCTCTCCAAATCGGCCAACAAGAAAGAAGAATAAGAACACAAGTAACTATTGCCTTTTTTGTCTCTAGCCAAAGAGATGATGAATTGATGTCTCCCGAATCTTTGCTCAATTACCTAATTGATTGGTTTCCTAATACCAATCCAACTCCTAAAAAGATTCCTATTACAAATCAATTTCCTCCAACTTTTCTTTTTCTTGAGAATGATCCCCGAAATAAGGAGAGTTCTGGCAGCTAACAAATTAGGAAGTTGACTCAGATTGGGAGACTGTCCAATATCAATCCCGACTTTCTGGCCTTAAATGTAGGTCCCGAACATACCACCATTAAATTAACTGGAAAATTACCACTTTTAATCACGTTTTGCTCATTTTCCTACAATTGGCACCATTAACCAAATATAAGTAGAATCTATCAATTAAAATAATATTTGGCTAAAATCAAGGGAAAAATAATTATAAATTTAGCAACAAATTATGACCTATCAAAGGAGATGCATGGAACTTGTAGAAACATCATTTGGGAATCTCAAGGAGCATTTCACATCAAATTTAACAACTCTTCTTGACCTTGAATTCCTCTTTAAATAGCAGCCTTTGAAGACCATTTACACAACTTTGGAAGGCTAGAGAAACTCACCAAAAATATAGTTTTCACTAGAATTTTCTTAGTTCATTAGTTAGAGTAGTATAGTATAGTTAGTGTAGCTTTTCCATCTTGTACTTGTAGCTAGATTTTGGATGAAGATTTGAGGAGCAAAGATGGAGAGTTGGATCTTATGTGACAAGGGTGACTTCTCTCCTATCATTTTCTCTTTTGTATTTGATTACATGTTTAGCTATAATACAAGTTTGGTGTTTGTTTTTATGTTTAGTTAAAGTTTATGCCTAGAATTATGGATGAACTTTTTATTTCTTGTTTGTGATGTTTACTTGGTTATTTGGTGATATGATTTTGAGCAAGGTATTTATCACTTTAGCTTTTCTAATCATGATTAACTGCCCATTAGTTGTGATTATCTAAAGGTGTTAATTTTGCAATAAAAATTGAAATTTAACATTAGTTCAAGAAAGTGATAAATCTAGAGAGTTCACTCACGAGAGTAGAGGAGCACCTATGTTACTTTAGTGACTTGTTTCATGTAATTTCATAGAAGAAATGAGTTTGTAGTTAATTTCATAACTACGAAAGTAGGTATGACTTAATTACAAGTATAGTTGATTCACTATGAGAGTAGGTTTCACATACATTAGGAAATTACGTCATAACTAACCAAGATAATAGCATTCACTTAATCGGTAACCTCATTTGCAAGAGTAGTAAGAAATTCCATATCTTTAGGAGTTTTCTAGTGTTATTTTCATTACTTTTATGTTTATGGTAGTTTAGATAATAAAGGAGTTCGAAAATTACCGGTAATTGAAAATCTTTCCTGTGGGTTAAACCCTTAATACCCTATACTCAATGCGACTCGTATACTTGCGAAAAATCGGGTGTGAGATATTTAGAATGTTATAAATATAAATTTTGATTGTGGATGAGCTAATTGTATATATATACCCCGCGCACGTCAATAAAATAAAACTATACTAACCTACCTAAGCTAATGAGACAAACTAATGAACTAAGAAAAACTAGTGAAAACTATATTTTGGTAATATTTCTAGCCTTCCAAAGTTATGAAACAAGCTCTCCAAAGGTCCCATTTATAGCGGAATTAAAGCTCAAGATTAGTTGTTTCTAGTTGGCAAATTTGCCTATTGAAATCTCTAAAGGTTGTTTGTACAAGTTTCTATACTTGCTTGCTCATATCTAGCTGGATTTCTTCCAAACAAAGTGGTCAAAAATTAGTGTGAAAAGAACACAAGTTGCAGAACAAGTTGCAACTGCATTTGAAGAATACTTGACCGCTGCAAAAACAAGCTGAGGTCGTGTATTCACCCCATGTTTTCCTCTTTTGTAAGTTTTCTCAATTCTAGTCAGTCTTCAACTTTACTCTGTTTTTGTACCAACTTTAATTGGTATTTTGTTGATGATGGAGGCTAAAATAGCTCTTGTGAAAAACAACAAAGTTGTACCCTTTGAGTTAGCTTTTCGATGCTTCAAGAATCATCCAATTTGGATCTCTATAGACCAAGAAATGACCAAAATACCCTCGAATGATCAATCTCCTGTTTCAGCTTTTGACAATAGAAATGACCTACTGTATTTTGACACTTTGTCTAGGAAAACTCATGAACTGGATTTTGATGTCTCATAAAAAATGTAGAGCTATGTGTTAGATTCAAAATGATTTAATAATCACCTCAATCTAATACTTGTAACTCAAGATATAGTTGATATACTAAAAGGTGTCAAAACTATTAAACTCCCTTTCTTTATACTTAATTGCATTTCATTTCTTGAACATTTTGCACTTCATATTTTCTTTAAAATCACTTCATATCATCAAAAATCATCCAATTATCTTCTCAAGTCATTCCATTTGATGATTGAATCATTAAACCTACAAAAACATGAAGTTTTCACCACTTTAAACACATAGAATGCAATCTTTCATACTTCAACCACAAAATGTGTACTTTCACTGGAACCCTAGTTAATTAGCTATAAAAATAAGTAAAACACACCAAAACTAGTTAATAAAATACACATAAAACATGTAAAACATATACTTATCAAATATTTTGTTTTTATTTTATACTAATCAAAATTATGAAATGGCTTGTCCAATAGGTGCTCAATGGGCGCTTAAAGGAGGTTCAGTCAGAAACTTTGCATCAAATTCTCGAGGATCGGATCTTTTTTCCCCTTAGGAAATTTGAAATATGCTAAACCATTAATTATCGAAGCAAAGTGAAGTTTTTGTTGATGTTTTCGATGATCAACAAATTGACTTTAGCACTAAACATGGAGTTTTGCAGCCTCAGATCAATTTTCTTGCACATAGTGATACCAGGCAAAGCATCGGTGTCAATGTCTTCTTTCTTCACTCCAGGAGGTAATTCCCAATCAAATGAGTGCAAAATATTGGCTAGTGCAAGCTCCACTGCTCCTTTTCCCATTGAGTACCCGGGACAGCCTCATCTGCCGGCCCCAAATGGGATCAAATGAAAATCTTGCCCATTCACATCAAGAGTACTATTCAAGAATCTCTCAGGCAAAAATTCATCTGGATTTTCCCAATACTCAGGATCTCTTGCAATTCCCCAAGCATTTACATAAACTAAGGTCTCGGGTTGAATTTCATAACCATCAATAGTGCATTTTGCAATTGTTTCTCTAGGCACTAGAAGTGGTAAGGCTGGGTACAACCTGAATGTCTCCTTAACAACTGCCTTGAGATAGGGAAGGTTCTGAACATCATCTTCATCTAACATTTGCTTCTTTCCAATGATTCCTCTAATTTCTGCTTGAACCTTTCTCATGACTGTTGGTTTTTTCATCATCGCTGTCATTGCCCAAATAATGGTCACCGCACTTGTGTCTGTACCGGCAAAGAATACGTCCTGCAATTTTAATTGGAAACAAATAAACAGTTGTGTTAAGCCCATGTTAATTATTTAACAAAATACATCAACTATTGGCTAAAGATTGCTAGAGAATATTTATAATATATGCAAGGCTTATTGTCTTTAGTTATAAACAAGTGAATACCTACTTCAAATTTCACAAATATACAAAATTTAAGTCACGACACTATTCAGTCATATCCAGAATATTTTGTCTCAATTGAAAGAGTTACCATAATATTAGAGATAAGAATTTTATTTAAGGATTGAGAAAAATTTATAGGCATGTTAACAAATCGAGTATTACCCACTCCCCAATCAAATGTATCATGTTTTTTTTCCTTGAATTTCGGTCCAAATTTTAAAACCTAGACCTTGTGAAAGTATCATGAGTTTAGATACTATATGGTTTGGTATAATTTATATCCAATTTCAAATCCGGACCCAAACCTACATGCATATATGATGTTTAAACACGTGTAGGATTAAATGTTGTATATAGATAAAAATTTCCAAGTAAATAGAATTATTTGACAATATTTTCATGCTTTCAGTTCATAACTATTACACACAACATTCTTGAATGTCGATTTTGTTATTTGATAATGGTAATTGGAGTGTATTTTTTATTGTGTTTGAGCTCCAAATAGTTCAATCAATTTTTTAGTTTAATTTTGTTGGCATATTAAATCAGGATTCAAAATTAGAAATTTTCATAGTATTATTAGAAGTGTTTTAGACTTTTAGTCAAGTTAGAGTATTAGTAATTCTATTGGAGAATCAAGTTATGATAATTTTATTATTTAGAAATTAATGTTTTATTAGAAACGATATCAAATATAACCAACTCAAAACTACGGCAAAGGTATGTTCACAACCTAAGTTCATTCATAGAAATAAATACGAGGAAATATATGACCTTATTTGAGCGTTTGATACTATATAAAAAAATTAATTGAAGATCAAAACACTGGAGTTTAGATTTACGGTTCTTTCTTTGAAGATTTTTAGGGTTTCTGATTGTTTCAAATGGCAGCAATAACTGCCCTTCCACAGCCGCCCGGAGGGCAATCTAACCCAACTTCTCCTACTTTTAGTAAAAAGTCCTTCTCTAAACTCTTCTTTAATTTGGCATCCTCTCAGCCCTTGCTTAAAAACAAAGCCATGATATCTTCTCATTGTGGGGAACCTGCAATTTCTTTTGCACAATCTAATATTGATGTGCTTTCTCTTTTGTATCAGTTTGCTTTGGTAGGAAAGTTTTCTAAGGGACGGCCCCAGATGGAGCAGTTGAGAAAGTTCTTCCATTCGCTTGACTTAAAAGAAACAGCTTCAGTTGGATTACTAGATCCTAGACATATGATTATTTGATTGGGTAATGAGGCGGACTTCCATAGGATCTAGACACGAGGTATTTAGCATGTGTTTGGTTTGCCGATGAGAGTATTTAGATGCTCTCCAGGTTTCCATGTCGATCGGGAGCCTTCAATTGTTCTAGTTTGGTTTCAATTGCCCAAGTTGCAGATACACTACTTCAATAAGGAATGCCTTTTCCAAATCGTTAGGTGCTTGGATAAGCCATTATTTGTGGACGCAGCTACCGTTTCAGGTGCTCATCCTAGTGTGGCAAGGGTTCGTGTTGAAGTTGACTTAATTAAAGCTCCTCCCAGTAGAATCTGGATTGGTAATGGTGATCATGAGGGGTTTTAGGCAGAACCTAATACCAGAAAATATTCCAAAGTATTGTACTCACTACTTTCGACAAGGGCATGATCAGGATTTGTGTCCTGTTCTTCACCCAGAGCTTAGAGTAGAAAGGGATGAGAGCAAGGTAAACCATGTGGTTTATCGCCCTAAAATTACTCATAGTGCATCAGAGGTTACAAAGAATCTAGCTGAGGATAATTTGGCTTCGTCAATACCAGCTTCGGTGACTGTTTCTCTTACGGAGATGTAGTAGATTTCAACAAAGCAGAACCTAGTTTTTCCTTTGTCTGCATCGATGGGCAAGGAGAGTGATGGGGCTGAACGCAGCAATGATGGTCGGAGCTCTATGCCAGGTAATGTATCAACTTTGCCTACTTCCGTGGCGGCTGCTCATATGGAGTTGCAGCATTGTTCAGTGGAGTAGAACCTAGTCGCTACGTTGCCATCATCGGTGGGGAGGTAACGTAATGGTACAGCGGTTTGTCAGAGGTCCACACCATGGTCAGCTGATATGTCTCTGGTGGTTGCACCTTCTAGCGTAATTACATATTCCCTAGTAGCCGCTGTAGAGAATTCGATTTCCAACATCTTTTCTGCAATGACTTCGGGAGAGGATGTAGCAGTTTCATTTTGTACTACTGTTTCGACTAAAGACTGTCCAAGGAGTGCTTTGGTTGATAAGTGACTAATTTACGTAATAATTGTATGACATTTTATATTATTTTTAGTCACTTTGGGTATATTATTGGAAGAAAATGATTCATTTTGGCTATAATTGGTGAAAAATGTTTTTAAGTGGTTAAATGAGGTTTTTATCACTTTTTATTTGGATTTTGTGTATTTTGACAGTTTTGATATATTTTCGTATTTCGGCTATAACTTGAGTTACAGTGATCGGATTAAGATGATTCTTGAACCAATTTGAAGATAAGAGATAGATCTACAACTTTGGTGAAGACATCTAAATCCAGTTTGAAGCTTTTCCAGGTCAAAATGCCGAATTACAATAGCAAATTTCTATTGGTCGAAACTGGAACAGGGCAATGAGCAGGTAAGGGTATTTCGGTCATTTCTCAGCCTACACAGATCCAAATGAGGTGATTCTTGATGCATTGGAAAGCTAACTCAAAGGGCTACAAGTTTTATGTTTTGGTCAAGAGCTAAATCAGCTTTTATCATCAAGAAAAGTTCAGTTGAAGTTGAGTCAAAATCGGAGCAGAGCTGGAAATTGAACCAGAAGTGACCAAATGGTCACTGTAGCAATCCGGCCGGAATTTGGCCGGATTCCTGGCCGGATTGTGGTCAGAAAAGGTTGCTATGTACGCGTAAAACTCAATTTCACCTCCACCAACTCACATGGGATGCTATACATGTGAGAAACATTCCCAGCTGTAAAAGGGAGATGTAATCCTCATTTCTTGACCATATTTCATCATAAAATAGCCAAGATTGCAAGATTGAAGGGGATCCAATAATATAGAGCAAGAGAGGAGGAGATAGAGCATCCAACAATAGAGAAGAGAGCTACGGGAGAAAGTTTGAAGAGTGCAGAAATGTAGCTCTTCCATTTCTTTAGTAGTAGGTTAGTTTAGTTTAGCTAGTAGTTCATCCTTTCTTGTTATTATCTAGATTAGGATGAAGATGGAGGATGAAGAAGGCAAGGAAGAAAGCTCATGTGACAAGGGTTGTATTCCTTCCAAACTCTTTATCTTTTGTATTTGATTCCAAGTTTAGTTAATATACAAGTTCTGGATTTTGTGTGTAATATGTGTTTTTAAAGTTTATACCTTGGGTTTGGTTGAACTTTCTATGATTGTTAGTGTTTATTATTTGGTTATTTGTTTGCTAAGATTTGAGCAAGTTATTTAGCACTTGGGCTCTTTAAATCATGATTAATCTGGTACCATTAATTGTGATTATCTAAGGTGTTGTTTCTGCAATGAAAATTGAGATTTAACACTAGTTCAAGAAGTGCTAAACATAGGGAGTACACTCACGGAAGTAGAGGTGCACTTATGTGGTTTTTAGTGATTCATTTCATGTAATTTCATTGAAGAAATGAACTTGTAGCTAATTTCATAACCATGAAAATAGGTATGGATTAGTTATGAGTATAGTTGATTCACTACGAAAGTAGGTTTCACATGTTTAAGGAAATTACACCATAACTAGCCTAGATGTAGTATTCAATGATCCAAAAATAGCACTTGTATGAGTAGTTGGGGATACCACAACCTAAGGAGCTTTCATTTGTTATTTCTTGCATAAGTTCAGTAGGTTTTACTTGTTAAAATTCATTGATAGTCTAAATAATAGAGAAGCTTTAGTAATACCGGTAATTGTTCACTCTTCCCTGTGGGATCGACCCGATATATACCCTAAACTACTAGTTGATCTGTATACTTGCAGTGAACGGGTGTAATTCGGTATTTTTTAGCTTGCACGTATGTAAAATACCCGTCATTGGTAGTCCCCCAAGTCATTTTGCCATAATCTTCTATGGTTGTTACTGCCAATGGAGCTCTTCCGGTTGGTGGGGAAAGTGATGGTAGAGTTGATAGACTAACAGAGGTGGAATTAGGCACAGTGGTGGAGGAGGAGGAGATTTATCAAGTTGAGCAAGGGTTGGGAGTTTGTCTCCACATGGTGAGCAGGGAGATACACAATAGGAGTTTGGTTTCTTGGTTGTTGATATATTTAATTTAGATCCGATAATTCAACATGTTCAGGAAAAGGTTCGAACGGATGAAAGTTTCAATGTGATCGCAAAGCCTAAGCACAAAGGTATTCGAGCCCAATTTCCTAGTGATCGATCGCTATGCTCTAAGTCAAAATTATCCGCAACCTCTTTTGCTACACTGTCTGATGATTAATTTCTTATTTTGAAACATTCAGGGCATCTTACGTGCCCCAAATTTTCATCGGTTAAAAAGACTTATTGCTGATTTCTCCATTCAACTAGTTGCTATTTGTGAACCGAATTTACCTCCAGTGGAAATTCAATGGATTCATGTGCAGTTGAAGATGGATAGGTGCATTGTTAATAGCAAGGGTTCCCTATGGGTATTTTATCGAAATTCATTAGTTTGTGAACAAGTTGGTGAATCTAGTCAACATCTATCAATAAAGATCCAATCACAATTGTTCCCTGATCCGATGGTCTTTTCTTTTGTACATGCAAAATGTTCTGATCAAGAAAAGGCCGGGCTTTGTTTTTGACTGCTCTATTG